TAAAATATATTTCCTATCTGAGGACTCAAAAAACACAACTTCCCACATAGCAAAGTTTGTCTGGCCCAGTTCTGGCCCACACAACGTACTAACACTGCGCTCAGATACCTATAAGAACGACAGCCCTTTGGTGGCCCAGATATGATTTGCCAGAGGTGGTCCAAGCTTGGGYCAGCACCACATAAACCAAAACACAACTGAGCCAGTTGTTACATGCCATCTTAAAAGACAGTGCCATCACTGCCAGACCTGGCCCACATCTGGTTGACAAACCACTTTTCATGCCAGCAGTGGCAGCTGACACCAGATCTGGACCACACCTGTCTGCTTTATGAGTCGATGCTCCCTCTTCAGTCATGCTCTTTCAGTGTCCTGGTGTGCAGCTTATGTGAATAAGTCAGAGGTGTAAAAAGATTGCTTGTTGAATGACAGGTGATTATTTTATTGCATTTGTCTGTGTGCGCTTGTTTGTCTGTCAGCAAAAATATTTCAGGAACTACGAGATAAATTTAAATGAAACTTTTAGGAAGTGGTCACTGAATGTGCACATTGGTGAGGGACAATATGTATTTCTTTAAAGAATTCTACTTATTTTTTTTCAAAATGTATTTTTACACGAGCGAACGTGTTCATTTAAAATCATTCCCAGATAAGTAAATTGCTGCCATTGTTGCTTTACAGTAAGTCTAGTACACTTTGTGTCCACTCTGGCAACAGAATCTGTTGTTCTGCAATCCTATTTTGGCGGGAAGAGGGTGGGGTTCCCTGCGTTTGGACGTTTCAGGTTTCCCTGCAGCAGCACTTCTGATTTAAATGAGTGAGCTGCTCTCAGGTTTSTAAAAACAGCTTGATGTGAAACTGGTGAGCTGAGCTCTGCGTTTGATGCTGGATTGTTGAAGCAGGGAAGGAAGCTCCCAGAAACAGGACTGGAAAACACTGGTAAAGCTTACTGTATATTTGATCCCAGTGAAGACACCAGTTTYTATTATTACCCTGCGTGGTCCCTGGGCTTAATACCAAATGTGGATTTAATACTGGCTTTGGGAGCCTGTGAGACACAATGCACTTATGTAGCTGCTGCAGTTATGCCATATTCTGTGGCTGACAAGTAACTGAGCTATTACTGTAAAATATGTAAAATACATTCTCTAACTGTAGGTTAAAATAGTTTGTCCTTAAATGAGCTCAAGGTGACCCTTTTCACACATTCTATAATTAGTGAAATAAACAGAGCTGGTGACCTGAGCACATTTAACAGCATCCTTTAGGGTTTTCTCAACATGTTTTCTATCTAACACAGTCAAATCAAATTTTGTTTTATTTCTGTAAACCCCCTTAATTTAAACTTCCTTCAATAAAACAGATTAAAGAGAAAACAACTGTTTAAGGATGGTGTTCTGGGTCTGATTGTTGGTGCAATCTGTGGGAATCTCTCCCCCAGAAATGGAGAGTGATAAGATCCTACTGAGGATGATGTATTCTTTAGTCTGCTGCAGTGTTTTCACCTTTTTTTTTTTTTTTTTTTGGGGGGGGGGGGGGGGACACCTTGGTTTTGTGATGACAAGTTTAAAAATATGCACGCTTGGCAAAACCCCAGTAACACAGGCGCAGAGAGGGGAAAGTGTCTCACCGACAGCGAGGGATCGTGGGAGGTGTAGGTGGCCCAGCGTTCGTTCTCCAGCTCCTCCATCACCTACAGCGTGCACAGGCAGAGTGTGGGGTTTTATATGTATGTGTGTGTGCAAAAAAACTGCAGTGAGCATATACCTGGGATTTCACACTTGTCTTCATCCAACAAGCCAGACAGAAGACACACACACACACACACACCCCTAACCTTCAACACAAACCTGGTTCATGGCGCTTTTCAGCCAGGTGTCCACAGCCACGCCCACTTGTCGGAGGAGGTCCAAACGAGCCTCAGCTTTCAACTTTATTGTCTTCAAAGAGAAAACAGGTAAGAAATGTTACAACACAGCCCTGAAAAACTTTTCTGTAGCAATCTTTCCTGTTTGTTTTTGTTTGTTACAGAATAGTTGTGGTAAAACTTTTGTTTCTGGCCTGGCTCTGGTCTGCTACGGTGATCACTATAGTATCGTGGGTGTATGCATATGCTGCCTGYTCCATGTTGTCATCCGCTTCCCAAAAAGAGCAAAACATTTTGACAGCATTTGTGTAGAAATATATCCATATATTTATCAATATAGCTGAGATTTTGACAAAATTAGTTTGCCTTTTGTGAATTATTTTGAAAATACAGCTATTGTGTTTGTTCCTTTTCCTGTTGGTGCAACGCAATCTTTGTAGATTGACTCCGGCACAGCTCTGGCATCTGGCAGAAATAGGATCAAATCTATCCGCTCACCGCCACCCTGTGCAGCCAGTGTAAATACCCTCATTGATTATAATGGTTGCGTGTTAGCTGCGGAGGTCGGAGCGGATCCACATCTAGTGTAAATAAGGGGTGATCCTTTTTCTTCAGTCCAGCTTCCCCTCACTGTTTTCATCAATTTCCCTCATTTGTTTCTTGTTACTTCTTACCTCTCTGGTGCTGACAGAGCAGACTGATAACCAAGAGCTCCATCCTAAAAAAGGAATCCAGTCAGACTCCCATAATTTAATCAATATAGACCCGTGCTCCTGATGTGCTTTATATTTTCCCACAGCAATGAATAGCAGATAAAAGCTGTACTCTAAACATGAAACTGAAAATAAGAATGGGTAAAACACTGATCTTTACAATACTATACATAAAAGAATTTGCACAGTTTTATAATTAGTTTAGGTCAATAGAAAAAGCATCAAGAAGTGGGTGTACTGACAGCGCAGACACAGACAATCAGTGTAGCTTGTCAGCTGTAATCGATGCAATTAACACAGAGAAAAAGTAGCAAACAAGATGGAAACTTGGAGGGAAAAAAAGAGTGGCTACTAGAAGAAAATACGATTATAATATAACATATATGGTGTAACATTACTAATGTCTTGATGTCCTGACTTTTGATTGAATCATGTCTATGTACGCAAACTAAATTGCAATCCCGTACTTTTAATCTTTCTTCTGTTTCTAATTTAATCAGTTTAATAATGGGTCTAAGATGGTCCTGACTAGGCCTGTCATGATGAGCAATTAATTAATTAATCGSACTGAAGCCAAAAGGATTCTGTTTGCACAGATTTTTAAATGTAATTCACATACAAATGCTTTACTGAGATCTCTGAACTACTTTTGATAATCAAAAGTGGATCACATATTGATCAGATGTTGCTGCTGACTGATCCATGATGTAATGTAAGTGTAACATATAGGTAAAATTAATCACTACAATAAAATAATTTTGTCTGTTTTTGTCACTTTTATGGTGGATTGCATCAACTCAGTTATGTACTGAAGGAAAACTTCACCAAAGTGAAACGTAAATCTGTGGATCTGTGTTTGATTACTCTGGCTGGCTTTCTCAAGGACCAGGATGTGTGACACAGAAACCTGAATTTTGGAACTGGAAGTGAAAGTGCTCAAATTGAATTTTTAATAAACCAAAATACAGTTTCAAAACAAATTAATTCAAATTCAAAACCTTAAATTCAGTTTCAATTTTAGTGAATTTTATTTTCAAACCAATGCATTCAATTTCAAATTATGCAATTCAAATTCAGTTCCTGCTGGCACAAGATTTATCCCATACCACCAGACAATTTATCCTCATAATCACCCTGGTGATAATGAGGATAAATTGTCTGGTGGAGACTACCATTTACTAACTCTCTATTTTGTTAATTTGTGTCAAATCTATAGCTTCAGTCTTCAACAAGGTGCTGAAATTGATGTTGGAACTTCTCGAGAGGTTTACGACATAAMCTTGTGTAAAAGGGGCAAAGAGAATATCACTGTCCAGATAATGCTGCGATTTAAACCCATAGAAATGCCTTTTGTCCTGCTTTCACTCCCGTTCTGATTAGGAGATGCGAGCTGTGTGATGAGCTCRTCTGGATCAAATGAGCACATAAAATATTCATCAACTTAGTCAAGAAAATCTTCGTCTGCGAGAGCAAAAGAGCAGCTGACAGACAGCCCGAGTAAGGGTGGGGTAGGAGGAAGACAATTTCCAAATATTTTTACATAGTGAGATCCTAAAGTACTGATAACTGACTGAAATACTTACAAAGCAGAAATAACAGAGTGTATTATTAAGTATGAAAAGGAATCAAATGGTTTTTGACCTAATCTGACATCAGAGGGCGCCCAATACGCTAAAGCTCGATAAGAGTGATGGTGTTGAGGAGTGACAGGCAGAAAATCAGCTCAAGCGAGGCTGAAAAGCAGATAGAATCCACATGGTGAAGTGAAAAAAAAAGATCAAATCTAGTAGAATAGGAGAGGAGGCTGTCCTCGCTCGCTGTGTGACATGTCACATCTGTGAGGATTAATGCATAAATAATAGATTTTCCCAAAAAGGAAAAGATGATGGGAGCAGGAGGGGAAGACAGAGGAGTCTGGGATGAAGAAGATGGTTTAGACTGAGAATTTTCAGATGTTTTATCTGCATTTAAAGTCTCCTTTTTGACTCAGACTATTTATTTTTTTGTATTTTTAAACCTCTAAATGAGCAGATTATAGTTGAGAAATTGGCATGCGGTTAGTGTTTGGGTTTTGATGGGGTGAAAGGGCGAATTACATGAAAAACGTGTCAGCTCTTATGATGTGCTGTGTATTTGATGAGCTCTCATGTCTATTTGAGTTTAACACTCCCTGCTGTCACACTGCAGACTTGCTCACATGTTCAAACACTTGGCAGCAGGTCACAGTATTCTGCATTGATTCTGCAGCAGCAAAACTAATACGCAATCACAGGCAACACTTAGTACTTTTGCATCACTTTTACAGCTAGTTGGTTATGACAAACATTGCATCACTGTTTTTTTTTTTTTCTCCTATACATTCTTCAGTGTTCCCACAAACACTTTCAGGCGTCATTTTTTAACCAGATTTATCAAGTACAGACAAGATCAAATCCAGTTTAAATGTGACAAACCAGTTCACACCAACTCCAGTATTTGTGGAGTTTTTAATCTAAACCTTGTTGTGCCTCTTGTGACTGAGAGAGATTGAAGACAAAAATGGTGGAAACTCATCTGATCACACAAAGAGCATGAAAAACCTCCTGAGGAGGACGAGTCGCTGATACAACAGCTAATATTTCCAGTGTGAGACACAGACCTCAGCTTTGCGCATCATCTCTTTGGTGTCTTCAATCTTCAACTCCAGATCTAGTCGGCCCTGCTCGGTGGGGGGCAGGCCGTGGCTCTCACACTCCTCCAGGGACTGAAATAAAAACACACACACATGGTTAGAGATGGAGTGTGTGCGCTTTAATATGAACAAGCTAGAATTCGACGCCAACCGTCACTGATGTCCCCCGTCGCCATTCAGAAGTGACCGACTGTTAGCAGTTCTGATGGAATCATCACAGACCTTCATTATTTAAATCATCTCACAAGGTGAACAGATGGACGGATGGGGGGCTAAACTGATCTTGTCAACCTACTATACAAACATGCTGAGCAGGTCTCCCTTATGATGCACACAAAAGTTGGTTCAGATCGGATCATGTAGCGTCTGTCAACGGTGTGATGTGTAATTAGGCCACCCCCACCCCCAAAAAAATTTGAACTGCATTCCTGTAGTGGGTTAGATTAAGATTAAAAGTAGTGAATCAGGAGCAGATTGGCTGAAGTATGTTGAATTTAGAGCCAACTGCAAGTCAACGGCATGATGTTTAACTAGGCCATGCCCCCCAAAATTATAATAGAATTAATATTTACGGCAAATTAGATGTGTGGCCAAGAAGGACATTTTATATTCAGCATTTAATGACTCATAGGTTGGCCTGCTTCAAGATTACAGTGGTTTGCAAAAGTATTCATACCCCTTGAACTTTTCCATATTTTGTCACATTACAACCACAAACATAAATATATTTCACTGGAATTTAATGTGAAAGACCAACACAAAGTGGTATACAATTGTGAAGTGGAAGCAAAATTTTACATGAATCAAAACATTTTTTACAAATAAAAAACTGAAAAGTGCGATGTGCAAAAGTATTCAGCCCCCTTTTCCCTGAGTGCAACCAATTGCATTCAGAAGTTGCCTGATGACTGCTAATGACTCAAAAGGGTCCACCTGTGTGTAATCTAATCTCAGTACAAATACAGCTGCTCCGTGACGGCCTCAGATGTTGGTTAAGAGAATATTGGGGAGCAAACAGCATCATGAAGTCCAAAGAACACACCAGACAGGTTAGGAATATGGTTTTGGAGAAGTTTAAAGCAGGCTTAGGTTATAAAAAGATTTCCCAAGCTTTGAACATCTCACGGAGCACTGTTCAATCCATCATCCGGAAATGGAAAGAGTATGGCACCACAGTAAACCTGCCAAGACAAGGCCGTCCACCTAAACTTACAGGCCGAACAAGGAGATCACTGATCAGAGAGGCAGCCAAGAGGCCCATGGTGACTCTGGATGAAATGCAGAGAGCCACAGCTCAGGTGGGGGAAACTGTCCACAGGACAACAATTAGTCGTGCACTACACAAATGTGGTCTTTATGGAAGAGTGGCAAGGAGAAAGCCATTGTTAAAAGAAAACCATAAGAAGTCCCGTTTGCAGTTTGCCAGAAGCCATGTTGAGGACACAGCAAACATGTGGAAGAAGGTGCTTTGGTCAGACGAGACCAAAATTGAACTTTTTGGCCACAATGCAAAACGCTATGTGTGGCGGAGAAAGAACACTGCACATCACTCTGAAAACACCATCCCCACTGTCAAATATGGTGGTGGCAGCATCATGCTCTGGGGGTGCTTCTCTTCAGCAGGGACCGGGAAGTTGGTCAAAGTTGATGGGAAGATGGATGGAGCCAAATACAGGGCAATCTTGGAAGAAAACCTGTTGGAGTCAGCAAAAGATTTGAGACTGGGGCGGAGGTTCACCTTCCAGCAGGACAACGACCCTAAACATAAAGCCAAAGCTACAATGGAGTGGTTWAAAAAAAAGAATATTCATGTGTTAGAATGGCCCAGTCAAAGTCCAGACCTAAACCCAATTGAGAATTTGTGGCAAGATCTCAAAACTGCTGTTCACAAACGCTCTCCATCCAATCTGACTGAGCTTGAGCTGTTTTGCAAGGAGGAATGGGCAAGAATTGCAGTCACTAGATGTGCAAAGCTGGTGGAGACATACCCTAAAAGACTTGCAGCTGTAATTGCAGCAAAAGGTGGCTCCACAAAGTATTGACTCAGGGGGGCTGAATACTTTTGCACATCGCACTTTTCAGTTTTTTATTTGTAAAAAATGTTTTGATTCATGAAAAAATTTTGCTTCCACTTCACAATTGTATACCACTTTGTGTTGGTCTTTCACATTAAATTCCAGTGAAATATATTTATGTTTGTGGTTGTAATGTGACAAAATATGGAAAAGTTCAAGGGGTATGAATACTTTTGCAAACCACTGTACATGTAGATTATGTGTTTATCACTCAGTCCCACTGGTCATAATGCTGTCAATATGCTCACTGTATACTGAGATTTTCTCTGGCAATAGATTTGACATTGTGAGATACTATAGTCATTAATACATTATATTTACAGTGAAATTATTTTACAACAGTATAACCTTACCTCGATTTTGCATCTTCAGATTGCTATTTTAGGCACTAATCCCAACATTTGAGCAGCATAAAAGTTGTTGACAAGTGTGTCCTTTTTCTAATTAGAAGCTGGCCCATTACCAATAAAAAAAAAAACACTTTAAGATGTGCAACAATCTAATGTTTAAGGTTTGAGAGCCTGTCCCAACATTAACTTTTCTTTTGGTTGGCCCCAAACAATCCCACAAATCATTGTGCATTGTTTCCGGTGTCCGCGTCCRTGCAACATGGATGACACGTACCAAGTTTGGTGCAATTTAGCCTTTCTATGTGAAAGTTGCAGCTTTCTTAAATTGCAACAGATGGACAGATGGAGAGCATTTCTAAGTCCCCTGCCTCAACGATGGAGGTCAACAGTATGAACTTCACATATTGTTTTTTTTAAACAAATTAAGCATGAACTAGTTGACCAATTTGGCAATTATGCTAGTTAATTTTACATTTAAGTCCTCTAATTTAAAGTGTTTCTGGAGTTTATAAAATTCTTATTTTTTATGAATGTTTTGGTTCTTACTCTCTTGTAATGAATGATGTTCTTGTGCTCTCTGGCCACTCTGGTGGCCCATTTTCGTGCCTCCTTGTTCAGACTGTGCTCTTCGGTTGTCCCCGACTCTGATTCCAGCTGACGGCTCTACAATACATGATAACACACACAGAAACAGAGAGAGGTAAACACACACATTTGCTGTTAAAAAACGCAGGTAAATAAACAGAAGTTCAGAGTCTGTGCTAAAAGTTATAAAGTTTTAGGATGTTCATTGGCTGTTAAGCTTAAAAAATGTGAGCGATTGTTTCCTTCGCAAATCGTTAATGCTGGGTGTTTCAAAGCTCACTTGTTTTCTCAGAAAAAAACAAACAGTTGTTAAAACCACGTGTGAGCGAGTGTAAATGTGTGAGAATCTGAATGTGTGCCCATTTATACCACAAAAAAGCAGAAGGCAACAGATCTTTCTTTCAAATCTGACTGTCTTTCTTTTTTAATCACAAACAAATGATAATATGGGAAACAGCAAAAGAATAGAGAGCAATAAAATATTCAACATTTATCACATCTTGAGGTACATCTTATGCAGAAGGACTTTTGTTTTTTCTCTATGTGAAAATTGGGATTCCACTGAAATAATTATGAAGTAGCTGATTATAAAGCAGCTGTGCGTACTGTATTTGTCGTTTCCTTAATGTTTTTAATGAGAAATGAGCAATAAATGTTGCATTTAAACCAACAACATTTAAATAGAGATTATGTAGAAAAATTGCTTGTTGCTGAGGAGAACTATTAGTGATAATCTCTTCAGGGTTTCTTATACTTATACAATACTTACTATACTCATATACTAGGGGTGCAACGATACAGGAAATTCATGGTTCGGTTCGATACTTYAGTCTCACGGTTTGATTTTGTTTCGATACAAAAAAGAGAAATTTCCATGCCCCTTTTAACTTGTAATTTATTYATATTGATTAAGATCATTTGTTTAACCTCAAAAGTACAGTTTTTTAATTAAATGTTGCTGAAAAAGCAAGTTTCTCAGTGGACCTGCACTCAAAAATGCAGCCTAGGTGGAGTAGTCGAACACAGATCCACTGATCCTTTAACACAGAGCATCTTCAGAAGACAAGTTGATAAAGTAAATTTTTTTAATCTGTATTGTTCGATACAGCACTGTTCGATATGGGTACATGTATTGTTGCACCCCTATTATATACTATGAAGGCAAACAATGTTTTTTCCTTTAAAGTGCATCATTATGGCATAATAATGATGTTAACGCAAGTTAAAAAACGTTTTTAACACATCCATTTTATCAAATGTTTATGTGGCAAAACACAGCCCGTGTGTGAGTACGAGTTTTCCTGTGAGAAGAAAACAAACTGAAGGCTGACAGAAATGTTGTCACTGCCGTGTGTTTCACAAACCTGAGAAGCTGTGGCGACCATAATCTGGTAATTCACATGTGTTGGACTGAGGCACATAATATTTTAATTGCACCTTTTCGTGCAAATCATACCTTTTAATTATGTGCTGATTCAGTAACACCAGGGCACGAATCTGGCTAAGTGTAGGTGTGAAACGAACGACATTACACCAGAGATTTACAACTTAATTACGCTGAGGCACCGGAGGATCACAGAGAGTTAACGGAGCGGAGCAGGAACTCCAGATTAAAACAGTGGCGCAGAATTGAAAAGAGTATTTGACTTTGTCAAGTTTTGAGAATTAACTTTGAACAAATGCAACGAGGAGACATGTTGATTTATAGCAGTCAGCCTGCCAGGGCAAACTGAAAGTACAGCACGATGGTTTAAAAATGGTAGATCAGGATGTACTTGTGCAAAAACCTCAATCATCCTAATAACGGTCATTTTCTGTCCTGTGTGACGTAATTATGTTATTCTGAAGCCACACTGATCAACAGACGCAGACACGGATGAAAAGAGTGATTGTGTGACTGGGTGAGTGGTAAGTGATGATTTTATCAAATATTTTTAATCATATAACCTTTTAAACACCTTTTTATTACTCTCTGCCATGACAGATGGGCTATAAAATAGTTGTTTGTGTAAGCATGTGTTTGTTTTTCTACCATTTAGCAAAACATCTTACAAGCTAGCAAAAAACGCTACAACAAAATTCCCAAAAAGTGACTGAATAACTTTGGGAATCAATCTGATTAAAGATGAGCACCACAGTCAACTGACCTTTCCTAACACAAAAAATGGCTCTAACATCATTTTTCAGCAATTTGTTTTGGTAGTAGCTAATCCCTACCAGATATGCTGAGCTCTAACAGATCACTCCATATTTTGGTTGAAAACTTGACCTTGCAAGGCACTGCGCATTTCTTCAAAGAATTTGTGAAACCCTGTCTTGCAAATTGTGTATGTTTTTGTAGAAGTAATGCTGAAACCAAAATAAAATAAAATAAAATAAAATAAAATAAAATAAAATAAAATAAAATAAAATAAAATAAAATAAAATAAAATAAAATAATCACACAAAAAACAAAAGTCAAAGAAGCTAATGGTTTCCACTGACAACAAAGGTTTGGCCAATTGAACTTACAAGATGGTACTGACTTTAGATAAACCTTTTACAAAACTGCAACGGAATAAAAATGTTTATCATCTGGTGTTCAGATTGTGTTATTCTCCATAACACGCACAACCAGATTTCAGTGACAGGAAGCGATTCTCAAACAAATAATACATGCACGGAAAAAAGATCTCTTGTTCATTCTTTCCAAACAATACAGAACATGAAAGAGTTAGTGTACATAGAGATTACATGTTTCATTTTAAGGACCGTGTGTCTTAGGTTTTATACTCTTACAGCAAAGAATATAATAGATTTATATTTTTTTTAAGTAGTCATTTGAAGATTACTTCATAAAAAAGGCTTTCTACTAACTATTGTGTGGGTAATGCTGAGGACAGAATATAAACCTCTAGTTCAGAACATTCTTATAGTTTGTCCTTTTCTCCTATTTTTGAAACGGCAGTGTAATGTCCTAAACCTGATGCTATACTGGTGTTATTATTCTGAAGCATCCAACCTTCAGTCTCACGATAATGTGACAAACTCAGATGACTGTACTTTCTTCTGATAACATGCACTATATTTAGATAAAAAAGGGGAAATGTGTTGCTCGCATCACTACTAATGCTAGGGTCCTGACCACAATTTGATGAGATCACCAACACCCTCCCTTAGCCACAAACTGACTGGTCATATTAAAAAGCAGTAATATTTGGAGTTATATTTGTGTGCAGATAACAAATGGTTCTTTTAACAACAGTTCAAGTAAACTTTAAAATGCCCAACAAATATTAGGATGTGGATGGAGTAGATGGTTTATCCCAGGAATGAAGATGATCAAAGCTAACAGTTAGGACTACCTCTGCCAGGGTCATTCTCATGGCACTGACGGGCGACGGCTCAATGTCCACCAACTGCTGCACCGAGCTCAGAGTCTGCCTCACACGCACACAGACGGGACACACACATAGCAGTGCAAGCGCACAGGCGTATCAATACAAGGAGGGGTTAAAAAAAGAGAAAAGGGTGAAGGAAAAATGTTAGCGAGCATCGACGATCAACAAACAGTGAGAACAGAACACTGTTGCAGAGAAAAAACTGTTAGGAGTGGCAGAAGAATGAGAAAGTTTAGACCAAAGAAACTGAAGACGACAGCAAGAAAGCTGCGCAGAGAAGAAAGCGCAACAAGACTCATACAAGAGAAAATGATAGCTCGTCTTCAGAGGGATTAGAAACTCTGTCCACTGAGAGACGGGTCTCATCCAGAAACACTTAACAAGCTCCCCAAGGAGCGAGACGGCATGATTTCAAATGTTGCACTGCTGTCACAGTTCTATTTCGTGTAAGCTCCGCCCTCTAAGGCTATCGCAGATGGCTATCGCAGATGGGTACCCCCGTGCGTGTACGCGCATTCTGAAGAGCCAATAGTCCACGCCCACGTTACGTGGGCCTCACCTCGGTCCGTATAAAAGGGGAGGACGGACCTGAGTTCAGCTCCCCTTTTTTCTTCAGCTTCGGCATTCTGCATGTACCATAGATGACGCCCATACATGTAAGTGCTACGATTCTTTTATATTG